CGAGGATCGCAACACTTTGTAGAAATGCCTGGGAAATACGTGAATGGAAATGCACGATTTGTAAAATTGCGATTTCACTATCTCAGATGCGATTTTACAAAATGTACAAAATGATCCCTGACTGAATGCATCCATCGCACTAATTTATCCAGCTGCGGAATTAGTAGTTGTCTATAACATGAAGAGCATGATCAGAGAAACTAATTTAGATGTGAGACCTCATCATGTTACCTCCAATCGTATTCATTTATTCACTTGTACTTGCAGTAGCATGTATCTCGGAAGAATGAAGATGGTCCTTACTAAACGAATCTCTAAACATGTACCGAAAACCCTGTTATTGAGAGTTGTAAGGCTACCCACCCACCAAGCAGTGCCATTGTTAAGCACATCCTCGATACAGGTCATGCAGTCAATTCAAACTTAGCTTTCAAGGTAAATAGTGGACAAAGAAATAGTAGATTGTCATATAATACAGAAGCAACAGCAATCCGTCAACTGGGACCACACTCATGTGTAGAAAAGGAGTTTTTGATTCATCTTGGATTTACCTTGGTGAGTTATTCGTTCCTACAGCTTTACTTACTATTTTATCCTTTCATCTTATTGTCTTACACATTATTCTCAAACATTATTCATATTCCCATCATTTTCGATTCACTTTAATCGGTCGTACCTTAATCATGGTTTTCAGCACATCCTTTTCTATTCCTTTGGCATTCATTAATTCATACACTTTGCACACCATCTTTGTTGTTCTCTCCCTTTTATCGAAATTCCTACCACTTTGAACCGTAGTCATATTCTTGGATTACTATTACGTCGTGTTGTTTTCTTTGTGTTTACCGAGTGATTTTATACTCTGATTTATTATGTTACTTATTTCCTGTATTAGTCTATCATCATCTCTGTTCCGATATTTATGCATTGACGCCTAGATGTGAAAGAGATGAATATTTGATGTTGGTTTGACTACTGAAATGTATCATATGACTTATAGTGGACACTGATAGCATACAAAATTTTGGATTTAGTCCATATGTGAAAGACTGAAAGCGCACCAAATGAATTCGATTCATTCCATAATGTTCGTCGTTCGTGCTTTTTACGAATAGAGATAAAGTAACAAAAGATATGGAAAGTCAATTAGAAAGTCGAAAGTGTTGAAAAACTAGGGAAATATTCACCAAGTAATGGATCAACTTAGATAGGTGGTGTAAGTCAATAGGACTATGTTAAAACCATGTCATATTACATACATAGGGCTTCAGCAGCACATCTCCAATGAGCTCTGTTCTCTGAAATCTCTTGAACCTGACTCCACAACAGCTCACAAGCTCTCATTTCTTCCTCGCACGATCTCCTCCATGTCACCCTCACCTCGGACACACAATTCATCGCTTCCCATCTGGGTTCCACTCGAGGGCCTGACGCATGATGTCCCCAGTCGGCCTTCTCAGTGTGTGCCCAATCCATCTCCACTTCCTTCTTCCGCATATTTCTTGAGCGATAGGTTCTTGGTAAGTTCGTCACCAGCCACAGTTCTTTCTTCCTCTTATTATTGCTCTTGTTATTCTGGACATCTGATCTTCAGTAACGAGCCAGCGTAGGCAGTTGTTGATGAATATCTGTAGTTTGTTGGAAATACCTTTCGTAATGCGACAAGTCTCTGAACCATACAGAAGCACTGATTTGACGTCGGTGTTGAAAATCCGGATGTTGTTCCCGCTTTATGCTGAGTGCAGTGCAGAAGATCTCCACACCGGTTTCAGGCTAATGAACACCTGTCTTACCTTTCCGATCCTGGCTGGCTTTGACGTCCTCGTCTGTGCCTGTGCAGCCTGTAGTTGAAACAGTGCTGCCTGGACAGATATGTGAAAGAGGCTACTTCCTTTAAGTTTCTCCAGTTGATGGTGACTGGAGTTTGTTGTTGCTGTTGGTTGGTTGGTTGGCTATCTTCATCACCTCTGTCTTCTTTACGTTAACTTGAAGTCCCGTCTTCGCTACCCTGCCTCTTCTGCCAACTTGTTAGTTTTCGCCTGTAGATCTTCAAGTTTGTGTGACAGTAGACATAAGTCATCGGTGAAATCCAAATCTTCTAGAATGTTTTCATCGGTCCAGCCAGTATATCCCCATCTTCTTGCTCATTACAGTTTGTTGCATGATCCAGTCCACTACAATCAGGAATATCATGGGTGATAGTAGACAGCCTTGTTTCACTCCTGTCTTCACTTCAAAAGCATCACTGAGCTTCCCATTGTGAATTACTTGGTATGTGGCGTCTTCACATAGTTGTTGAATGAGATTGATATAGGTTTGTGCTATTCCGTAGTGTTGAAGCAACTGCCTGCCAAACTACTTCCCGGTCGACGCTGTCAAAAGCCTTCTCAAAGTCGATGAAGTTGAGGTAAAGAGTTGACTGCCTTTCTATACTCTGTTCTATCATGATATGAAGCGTTGCAACTTGGTCCGCACATGATTTGTACTTCCTGAATCCAGCCAGCCACCCTGTTCCGGTCGTAGTTTTGAATCCAGTGCATCCTTTAGTCTCTCCACGATGATGCGGCATAATATTGTGCTTGCTCTGGGTGGACAGGAGAGTGATTCCGCGACAGTTCTTGCAAACACCTAGGTCGCCTTTCTCCGGGAGTTTGACAAGGTAGCCCTTCTTCCAATCTATTGGCAGGTACCTTCCCTTCCTTCTAGATTTTCTACAATAGTGATGTGAGCATGTCCGCTGTTGTCTCTGCGTCTGCTCCCAGTGTTTCTGGCGGAATTCCATCTGGTCCTGCTGCTCTCCCGCATTTCAGTAGCCTTATGGGGCTCAGGACTTCGACTTCCGTCGGAGGGCTTGTATTCACTTTTAGTTCTGTGGCTGCAGGTGGTGGTCGACTAAAGAGATTTAGAAAAGGGTCAGCTCATCATTTCTTTGTTTCTCCTCTTTGGTAATTCAATTTCCTTCATCATCTCTTATTGGTTTCATTTGTGCTGTGCTGATCTCTTCCCTCCCAGATAGTAACCTGGTTATTTGATACAATGTTGTCAGGTCTATGTCTCTCCTACCTGCAGCCTGTTCTGCTTCACTTGCCAGTGTGTCGTGGAAGTCTCTCTTGTCTTTCCGTGCACTCTTCTTCACTTCTTTGTCCACTGTAGTGTTTTATACATTGTGTTCAGTTCCTCTTCTCGTTGTTCATCCAAGTACTGCACTGGTCCATCTTCTGCTTCACCATCCTCCTTTCCCTGCTCTTTCAGCTTCCATGTGTCCATCGAGATCCATTCCCTATCTTCTTTCTTCTTCCTTCCTAGTACGGTTATGCAGGTTTCTTTCCACATAGCTTTCAAGGATTTCCAGTGCTAATCCACACAGACTTCTTCAGGGATGCTGCTCGACATCTCCCATTTTGTCATGATGGCTGACTGACATGAAAATGTCCCTTGTAGTTTCGTCCTTCAGTTTCCGAGTGTTGTGCTTGAACTGTGGTCTATCATCAACTTCCTTGAAGGCTTTTAACTTGATTTTGAAGGCAAGTTCCTTGCCCTAGATAGTGGTCTGGGCCGACATTCGCTACCCCTCTTGATCTGATCTTGTGTCAAGTAGGCTGCGTCTCCACTGTCTCCACATTCAGATGAAGTCGGTCTGATTCTTAGTGGGTCCCCTTGTCTGGTGAAATCAAATACATGTCGCTTTGTGGATATCCTTGTGCTTGAAAGCAGTGCCTCTAGTCACCAAATCTTTGAATGCACAGAATTCTGCGAAGAATTCTCCATTCTCGTTCATCACCTCACCGAGCGCTTCTCGACCCATGGTTAGTTCTCTTCCTGTGTTGTCCGCTCCCAGTTTAGCATTCATGTCGCCCATTAGAGTTTTGATGTTGCCATCTGTGGTGGGGTCTTGTCCAGTACTGATTGCAGTTGTCTGTAGAATTCCTCCTTTTTCTCTTCACCTGCATTATTTGTAGGTGGGTAGCATTGTATGATTAAGACTTTCCGTCCTTTTGAGTTGAACCTTGTTGTTATGATCCTGTAGGAGGAGATTGGTTCCCACTGCATGAGAGCCTGCGATACTGTTGGGGACATCATGATAGCCACTCCCTCCGAGTGCTCGTGGTTGTCGTCTGGGTGACCGGAGAAGATAATTGATTCTCCAGTTGACAGTTTGAAAAACCAATTCCATTCCATTTGCTTTCGCGAATTCCTGGCACTTCTACCCCATACCTTCTCATCTCTTTTGCAGCCTTGGTAGGTTCATACATGGTGCGGATATTCCATGTCCCCATGTTTACTTTCGCTCTCATCGAGAGAAGACACATCGGCCAATTGGCTTCCCGAAGGCTTTCACCAACCGGCATCCTTTCGCCCCTTCGATTCCAGTGAGGAATAATTTTGTTTTTGTTTTTATATTTTGTTTGTGCTTCGAAGTTTCTTTAGCAGTTGGATTGGTTTTACGGGGCAGGGTTGCTAGCCCCTTGCCCAACCTTCCCTTTTTACCCGGGTTAGGACCGGCTAGTAACTGGTGAACTAGTTAACCAGGTAATAACAGTATGTTTAGCACAAATGCAAACCAATTTACTTGATACATGTTCACAGTGGTACAATAACTTACATTTCGTTCCTGAAATTTCAAATGAAACCTAAGAGAGAATTACGAGAAGCGTCAACGATCAAACAACTTTCCCACCTTCAAAGGCTATAAAAACAGATCCCAGGATGACGTTATATAATAAAGTCCGTCGAAGAAAAATGGATTGTCATCAACGCTGTGAGTTGTGGCAACTTGGACGGCTACGTAATCCGTTCGTCCGTCAACGTTATAAAGTATGTTAATTAATAAACATAAACTAGATTTGAATGCGTGGTATCACCTAACTAGATTAGCATAACATAAACAGATATAACGCCGAGAGAAAATGACTTTAAAAGACTTACCAATTGAAGAGTATGCATAATATCAAGTAGTTATGATATACAGTGGTTACTTCTTATATTCATTAGTGACTCACTTGAATTAGCTGCCAATATCACTTTACATCCACGATTAAGAAATTCCATGGCGAATGGCAGTACACCGAGTATAATATCTGCACCACTGTTATCGCAGAATATTAAAACACAACGATAAGGTGATTCAGGTACATTGATTCGACTAATCCATTTATCATAATCATCAACTAACCAAGGTCGAGCCTGAATTAAAATAAATTTAGGTCGTAATGAATTATCACTTATCGTATGAAAAGACAGAGGAAGAGTAAAAAAACTGATCACAGAACAGATTGTTCATCTGTCACCTGAAACAGAACAAAATGTGGTAGACTTCAGAGAGAGCGGGAAATAAAGTAACTGAATTTTTGCTACAAAGTCCCAGATAAGAATCATACTTAAATCACCAGAAGGCTTCTACCACTACTAAGCCTAACAACCAAGCATTGTATAACGTTCTAAACACAAACCTGATACAACACGGCTAGTAAGGGGTGGACCATTCAAAATAATATACAAAGACTAAGAAGAGGAAAATGTATGACTACAGGAGAAAATAAGCAGAACGAAAAGTAGTTTATAAGAGAAACCGTCTTAAAGATATATTCAAGGAAACACTCACTACCTCCGTTTTACTTTTCAACAGTAGGAGAAACAAGAAAACTTCAGCCATATCACCAAGGTTCTCCAACGACCGATTCCTATCATTCGGAGGACACTAATTAGATAGTCTACAAAACGATACTCGGCTCAAACCAATAGCCAAACAGTTCATAGACTGGCAAAACTGAGTGTTTTTCCAACTCTTTGTGTAACTTTGTGTATTAATATAAGTCAAAATAAGCAATGCTTTGACATGCGTAACCCATATCAAACCAAACTCAGTTGGTGAAGGTTCACAACATCATCGATTGACCTGACTGCCTTTACCAGGTACATTTTACCTAGCCTCGACATTGGCCATATAGTTATTCCATATGTGAACAATGCTGCAAATACATCAGTGTTTCAAAGCATGCAGTCCCCTCACATCAATAGTAACCAAGACTGGAGTTCCAAGATGTCCTCACTCAATAAATGACGATCCATAACATCACATCAAAACACTGCATTACTAATATGATTCTTCCAGCGAATGCAACCAATCCGGTGGAGACGATAGTGATCGAAAATGCAACCAGCAAACATTATCTCAGGGAGGCCAGGTTTCACAAGCATGTAAAACTGACGCCCAGTACGCTCAGTTTTACAGTAAGGTTGACGTCTCTATGGCACCTAAGATAAAGGAGATCAGCGAATGCTATTCTGGGATGTAATATACTGTTGAAATCTCATCTGTTTCACCTCTACCAGCATTTACACAACAACTACAGAAGCGCACATTTTCAACAACTTCCAGCGATTCACCACCAGGTACAGGCTGATGTTTATATTGTAGAAGAACTTTTCACTTTGACTGCATGAACCATATACCACAGTAATGGAGACTGGTCGCTGGCTGATTGAATAGAATTTGAGTAGCCTGTTTATTATTGCACAGGTTAACATTATCGCTTGCATACTCGAGGTCGAGGAGTCTTTCACCTGGTAACAGGTCCACACCACGAGAACGTCCCTTTATCAGAGCTGTTTCAAGAATGTCGAAATCCGTTTGCACTTTCATACAGCGAGCAAGGTCTATTAGTACTAATATAGGTGTAAAGCTTAAACACTGTGGTAGAATTTAATTCCATATTAGATTTGTTCACTTGGTTTATCAAACAGTGATATAGTATTGTTTATTTGATGACGTTTCGAGCACAAGTTATTGCTCATAATCATATCAATGTAATCACACTACTTTCGACATTTGATTTTTATAGTTACGTCACTTTATATGAGTTGTTTTTATTGGCAGCAAAGTTTTCCATATCTCTGGTATAGGTGTTGCGTCATTCCTATTACATGTGTTGAGTGTTGATTCGATGAACAAAGACTCAGTAGTCAATAATCTCTCCACTTAATTATATTGGACTTAAGTACAGTGGTTTTATCCCACCCTATTGTGTGTTAATAATGCATGCATAGCAATAGCCGAGTTTTTTTCTAGATTATTGATCTTATTTAGGTCTGTTATTCTACATTTAGATAAATCTCTACGTTCGGCTATTCTAACTGACTCCAACCGGCTAGTTGGACCTATGTACTTGACATCACAGTCATTACATGGAGTTTGATAGATTATCTTATTTTGCTTAATTGGTTCTATCGGATTCTTAAGCCAGCCGACAAAGTTTATCTCTGAGTGAGTTTGTAGGTTTAAATGCCACCCTAATTCCAGCTCTGTTGAGGATTCGACGTAAAGTTTCTGAGGTACAATGTAGGCCGTGAACTCCTTTTTAACTCGTGTTGTCGTTATTAGTCGCACTCGTGTGACAGTAATTTTTCGTTTTTTGTGTGTCCGTAAGAATTTCTTAGTAAACTGAGGAGGATAATTATTAACTTTTCGTGCTTCTTTTACGTGCTTCAGTCTCTTGTTCAGGTCTTTGCATTGACTAGTCAGTTTTCTAGCTCTATCATTTAGACACTTGACTAATCCTGCCTTAACACATTGGATGGGATGATTTGAAGTCTAAGATACCTGTTGGAATGTGTTAGTTTTTTGTAGACAGTAGTATCCAAGCCACCGTCTGTTCTTCGTTTTATTCTGCAATCCAACATAGGCAATTCTCCTTCTTCATTTTCTACCTCGTAAGCGAATTGGATTGCGTTTACTACTGAGTTTATATGCATGAGGAAATTGTCGATATGTTCCAATTTCAACACAGTAAATTCCTCATCGACATATCGCCACCACATTTTAGATGCAGGATTAAACGTTTGTTAAGCCATGTTTTCTCAATTATCCATAAATATATCTGCTGCGATTGGGGATATTGAGGATCCCATTGCTACTTCTTCTGTTTGTCTGTATATTTTGTCCTGAAACTTGAAAACTGTGGAGGTCAGGCACAACTGTATGCCTAATATAATCTCATCAATCGATACCTTAGTTCTGTAAGTTATGAGCCAATTTTTAGTTGACTTCTGACTGCCTCCAGTGCCATATTGATTGGTATTTTGGTACACTTCTATGTGTAGGTCATTAAGCCTAAGTTTTAACTCGTAAGAGTTTACTAGTCTGGAATTTGAACGGTTCCTAATAGGGTATAATATCGAAGCTAAGTACTTTGCTAGTTCATATGTTGGAATATGGGTCTGATGGGATAACCTGGTTTGTGAGTCTTAATAGTGCCATAAATTCTGCTAGGATTATTAGTTTTGAGCATTAAAGTAAACCGTTAGACTCACCTAGAGATGGCTTTAGTCGGCGTATCAGATCGGCTGTAGATTTCCTGATTTCATTCATGACCGTGTCTAAGGGCTTCTTGATTTCTCCATATGGTCCTGTTTGGATATGCTCATCAATTTTGTTGAAGTAATCCAATTTGTCCATGACTACTGCTGAATTGCCTTTATCAGACTTAACAATTACTATATTATTGTCATTCCGTAGACTATTCAGAGCTGAATTTTCAAGTTTTGTTAAGTTCCACTGTCTTTTCTTTTGTCTTTTCAGTGTTAACGCACACTGTGCTCTAGCCTATTCAGCTGTCGCTGCATCCACCGAGCTTAACGCTACTTCTATGTTCATCGAATCAACACTCAACACATGTAATAGGAATGACGCAACACCTATACCAGAGATATGGAAAACTTTGCTGCCAATAAAAACAACTCATATAAAGTGACGTAACTATAAAAATCAAATGTCGAAAGTAGTGTGATTACATTGATATGATTATGAGCAATAACTTGTGCTCGAAACGTCACCAAGTAAATAATACTAGATCACTGTGTGTTATAAATCTATTGATACTATCTGGCTGCCCGAAACTCAGTTGGTCAATAATGTCGTCGAAGCGAAATTTACGGAGGTGTGTTGAAATCGGGTAGCTCTGACCTAACGCCATTATTAGTATAGAACAATGGAGATAGATGACTGTAAGCCTTTACTGGACCTTGGGTGTTAAAGCATAAGGCTTTTAGGAAACAGGAAGCTCTCAGAGATACCCCTTTTTTAAAATACAATTCCGAATTAAAACCTTACCCAATGAATTAAAAATGAGCTTACTGTCATGAAACACAGGGTTTATTGGAGGTGTTCCAGTGTCTGGCACAAGACAAACCCGTGATTAATGCACCTAAGACCTGAAAGGAACACAACCTACTTCTCATGGATGAGTTTTTGAGCGTCTTTTGTAGTCTGCAAAAAATGATAGCAGTTAGTAATTTAAATGCTTCTAGTGGTTAGAAAAGGCTGTGGTCGTGACAAAGCTGCAGGAGAAAATCCTCATTATCTGAGACTGACTAACTGTGTAGCCCACAGAAAAACCCTCTCCTGAACATAGATGATTGATCTATGCATTCAGGTCCCCAGCTGGCACTATGACATCTGTCAAGTTCATCTAGTAGGGAAGATTGATAGTCGAACTCAACCTTAACTGCATCTGGACTGCAATCAGTTGGTGCTTAGGTAGAGATGATGGAGAAACATCGTTTTCTTGCAACTTACTTCTCACCCTAATCGAACTTTCCAGCCCAACAGCATATACACGACTATTGATGGGATCCAGCTGATTAGTGGGGCTTAGGCTTTGGCGACAATAACACTAACAAGGCCACAGAGTGCCCGGATAAAAAACGTTGTAGATACAGTATAGGAGCAGGCAGATGCGAAGTTTATTTGAAACACCTAAGTTAGATCTTGCACGTAGATCTATGAGATACAGCATGCATCAATAGTGAGGCTTTTCAGAGTTATAGTCAAACGTCTGTCGTCCGAAATGAACGAAGGTCAGAAAGTTAACGCAGCACGTTAAACGGTGTGTACTATTTCAGAATAGCTGTATAAGATGTTTTTTATGGAAGCAGTAGTTTAGCGACTGGAGATGGCAGAGGTAGAATAGAGTTTTAATCAATAACAGGCGGCTGAATGGAACAATAGTAAAAATATAGACTGACTTCGAAAGTAAGCAGAAAAAACAGCCTAGTTCATGTGTAAAAATGATAAGCAAGTAACTAATAAAATTAGAGTTTGGTTTTTGCAATACAGATTCGAACGCCTGCAGGAAAGTTGTGGCAATGCATAAGGGTCTTCTGTTTCAGCATATTTTTATGTGAGC